TCCCGGCCGGAAGGTCAATCTTCTCCTATATGCTCGTTCTGGTGGCATCCTTGGGCTGGGGCGTGACACGCCCCTATCTGGATCAGCCGACGATCCTCAAGGCCTGCGCTCGACTCGACTGTAGCTTGCTTACGAATCGGCAGCTGTAGCTGTGGCAGAGGTCTCTGTAGGTTTACAGAAATTCAGAATGCGGCGGTTCGTCAAGAGATGATAGTGTTCTTCTGTGAATGTTTGCGATATTAGTGTCCAGTAAGAACTAAAGTTCCATTTTCCTGCAAAGGCACAGGCATGTTTCAGGCCCCGTTCTGACAAGCTGTTATGGCCATTTTGCATTCAAGAGGTCGTGATTGATGCAGGCTGTAATTGGCGGATTTCAGCAGAATGCATAATACGGCCCATCAGATCAGCGTGTCTCGCAAGTGCAGGAAGGAAGGATCAGGAGGCAGAAATCGCGAGCAGGTTGTACACCTAGGCAGTTGAACATCCAGAACTCTATTCACGGAGCGATTTTTTGACAGCTGGCGACGAGGTTCAGGGACTCTCGTTCCTGTACATCGTTCTGGACTTTGTCCGTGAATCAGCGCTGTCTTTCAGGACGCTGCATAACTCCGCATGTGAGTTTCGGTGGTTGTGATGCACGCCCGGCAGGAACAGCCATTCACTGTCGATAGCTTTCGTGATGCTGTGCTTGCTGCCAGTGTTTGCCTCAAAGATCCGGCATTTGTTGCACTGGGTGTTGTGCGCGACCCGAGGTTGCATTGCTTAATGGCTCAATCCTCAGTACACTCAGTACACCACAGATGATTTTTGCTGTGTCTCCAAGCATCGAGGCATAATATTCTACTGGATTTTCACAGCGCTGCCGAAGCCTTACACTGGCGTGTGTCCAAGGAAAGCTTCTTGCAGTGGGTTTCGGATACTAGGTCTTCTCTCATTGAGATCCTTGCAGAGCGCAAGCAGGTAGAGAAGTGCGCCGCCTAGCACGGCACAAAACGAGAATGCAGAAGAGAACAAGAGTTTCTGGATCACAGGCTGGTACTCTTCCAGCGCCTGCGGCCCTGCTGCACTGGCGCTCCCTTTTTCCGACTTGCTTCCAAACACCGTCGCCGACCAATGCACGTCATCTGCAGGTGGAAGATCTTGGTGGCAGCTTTGAGCTTGGCCTCTTTGAGCTTGCCGCAGACCCAGAGCGCACACACACACACACACGAGCACACACAAGCACATACACGCACGCACGCACACACGCATGCACGCACGCATTCACGCACGCCCGCCCGCCCGCCCGCCCGCCCCCTGCCCACCCGCCCCGCCCGCACGCTCTATCTCTCCTTTGCATCTCTCTTTCTCTCTCTCTCTCTCTCTGTCTCTGTGCTTCTGGCGTATGGTCAGTTCGTGTTTGCAAAGCTTAGGCTCTACCAGCTCTTCGATTTATCCCGCAGCATCAGCCAGAGATGGCACTATCAGTGGTTCTTTGCAGATGGAGTTTCCCACATCCTTTTCTGCATGGTGCGCCTTACACGCTATGATTCTAGTGTCGGGCCGGGACTTCCATCCGATGCACACGTCACTGAGACGATGCTGCAAGGGTGTACGTCGTGACAGGTACTTGCGGCTATCATGTTCCTCTGGGCACCACATACAAACAGCCAGAGGTATGCCTACAAACAGGCATCCGCGATCTTTGCTTGAATCGAGACTTGAGTTCTTTCCCTCCCAAAGAAGCTCTAGAGTGCCAGGTGGATGATCAAGAGGGCGAGACCTCGAAGATCACCGAAGGAAAAGACGTTTGGGCAGACGAGGCTATGGTTATGATCCAACATCAATGTACGAGTTTGAAAGATGGCATGAAGTCAATCGGGTTGATGAAGCTGGACACTTGAAGCATGTCGTTTTCCTGTTTGTGCTGGCGACTCGCGACGGCCGCACATGGCAATCTAGCAGTAGATACATGTAGATGGTGTCTGACGGTCGCAATTTCCAGACGGAGCCTATGCCTACGAAGGGAGAGAGGAAAGAACGATATGTTGCGGTTCAGCTCACATGCAGATGGACAATATTTTTTGTGGCCGTCGGAGAACCTTCGTCTTGCGAATCACGTCCTCCCATGCAGCGAGGAACTCGAATCGCTTTATGTCGGAACCATGCGGATGCTGCAAGCCACGCAGGTGGTGTAGTGAATGCCGGAAGATACCAAGAAATACTGACGCTCATCAGCAAGCAAGCGGAAAAGCGAAGGGACGCTGGGGCGTGGACATGATATTTGTACGCTGCTGTAGCAATTGCCCGACAGAAACCAGCCGAATCCAGCAGTCCACCGGCCTGTCAAAGTCTGGGCTTGTCGATGTGCGATCAACTTCCTTCATGAATAACTGACGTTCATGTCAAGAATCCGCCATCAGCTACGAGTCGGTGTGCTGATCGTGCCACAGAAAGAGTAGTGTGCCACTTGCAAATCAGGGCGGCCTCGATGAAGAAGAGGATGACTCGTTCTGGGCATCCACACACGGCAAATCGTGGCTGTCTCAGCTTCGCATAGCCAGGTATAATGCATTCGAACATTCTCCGGTGCTTTGCCAAGCAAAATCTTTGAGGTCAAAGGTCAACGCAGATATCCTAGGTGGTCCAACGCAGGCGGCTGCCACTAGAGCAGCATGCAGACTGCTTTCATTGGCAGCACCCGCAGGCCACCGACGACTAGAGCTGGTTCCTGGGCATGGCGTCTCACTCGAACACTACAACAGTGAAGAGGGAGGCAAGCGAGCATTTCTAAGCTATTGGAACTACATCATAGGCACCGGGCTTATAGTTGCCGTGCCATTCGACTCTGTCAATTTGCTTGCATGCCTGAAGACTGCACGGACGGAAGACTTAGCAGCGCATCCGATTGGACAGCATTTCGGCCGTCTCGTAGTCAGATGCCTGCACTGTGGCGGAGCCGTCCGTGGCATCTCAGCGCAGATGCAGGGAGGCTGCAAGGTCCCGAGTCTTCTGCTCATTGCAACTTCTGTCTGAACATGAAGCTCAGAGCGGGCGAAAACAGCATTGCTTCGCCCCTACCGGACTCGGCCAGAGTGGCGCCTGTCACAACCCCGGAAGCATCTTCATGCAAGCTGACAACGTCTATTTAGGGGACATGGCTGCTTGCTGTGAATTCTGCTGGACCCCACAGCTTTGAAGGCCAGATCAGCCGGCCGACGGCAGTGGCCGCACCAAAGAGTACATTGACATGTCCAGCCCAAACCCCCACAGCCCCCCAAGCACCCCCTGACGGTTACTCTCACAAACAAGACGCTGCAGCTTCAAAATTCCTGACCGAACCTTCCCGGACCTCTAACTTCAAGCCCACACTCACTAGCAACCTCACCCGTCCAGGGAAGCGTGCATTTCCTGCGACTAAGCTTCGTCCCTCGTGTGTCCATGACTGCTGCACGGAGTTCTCCAGAGGCAGGCTCTGAATTCTTCTGGACATAAATGGAACTGCTGAAGGATGGGCAAGGGAGCTAGGACCAGCTAGGACGTGAATTCCCGAAGCTGGCCTTGACGTTGTCCTGCCAACCAAGATCCCTTGGCTCCGATAGCTTTCTTTGTGCATAACAAAAATTAATTGCTGGAAGAGTTGGTTGCTGCCCGATATACGGACCTTGGACGCTATCCGCGCACCCGGAATGTGTGCAAGATAGGTGCTGTTGATTGCTGTTACAATAGCGGATCCGACAGGCCACCGCAGCGGCAGCATGTGCATCCCCCGAGGTTGGCGGGAGTTTGCTTTCGCATGGGCAGCTTGATCAGACTGATCAGACTGCAGGAAGACTTGGAAAGCGTCGAGGAGCGCATGGCCCCATTCAACAGAATGAGAATGAGTACAATCGTGGCTTGATGTGGCTCTGTCTTCAGCCTGAATTGATCGATGCCACAGCCGTCCTGCGAGGATGATGACGTCACCGGTGCCGAAGCTCGCCAGAAGCGAAAGCAGCAGAGCTGCAAGATGCTGCATGCGCCGAAATGTCCCGAAGCTCTGGACCAAGGGAACTAAGCTTTTTTGTAAGCAGGCAGCGGCGCGAGGCCCGGGAGGCGGCGAGGCTACAGCGTTTGGCACAGAAGGCCATCGCATCCCTTTTGGCCCGAGTCCTTCAAAGATTGAAGCATGTCTACACTTGCAGGCTGCGGCTCGCCGCTCTGGACCCTCCGCAGAGGAGCTACGAGCAGGGGACCACAGCCACACACGCTCTAAAACCCCCCCTGAAGAGCGCTTTTTAAGGCATTGCAACGTGCTTTGAGTCGCTCGCTGAGGCACAGAAAATCGCCGAGAAGGCGGCAGCTCGACGGGCCAAGGCCGGGACGCGGTTGCACGGAAGCAACGCACTCGGGGTCGTGACTGTCGTCCTGAAAGGCCAGGGGTGCCTTAAAGGAACCGGGCCAGCAAGCCGAGGAGAGATTGCGGGGAGCCTGTCGTCCCGGCTTCAGATCCTGGCAGTGCGACTGTGCGACTGCAGGAGCCAGACACCAAGCCGATGGAACAGGGCGAGCCCTTCGGGAGCACATGGCCAGTTACACTTGTCGAAGCGGTCCAAGATGTGTCCAACCTCCGGGGCTCTGAACACGGTGCAAATTTGATTGAGAATTTTGAACCATGAGCCAATGGGCAGGTCCCTTATGTTTTCCGTTGCTTCGCGCCGAAAGCCCAGGCCCCTTCCTGAACAAGAAGCGGCCCCTCCGACTGCCCAAAACGGGCATTCCGCCGCGGCCTTCACTCGTACCGTAATTGGCTAGCTCGTACTTGTGTGACTCGCGAACGGAGCCGAGGTTGAAGGCAAAGATAGCAAAGATAAGAATCACAGAGAGCCGGCAACTCGCATGCATGTTCGCTTCAGATCCTGCAACAGGCATCAGATGCTTCAAGGGGAACGTGCGCCCGGCAGGTGAACTCAGAGAGCAGGCCGAGCAAGCTGTGTGCCGAAAATCTGGCACCCGAGAGTGAAGCAAACGAGAAAGAGGATAAGACCGCAGAAAAGGACGCAGCAACACGGAAGCAAGAGGACACGCCGAAGGAGCAAGCCAAGGATGAAGACAAGAAGGAGGCAAAAGAGGCAGCCCGAGATGGAACGCCTCACCGAAAGCGAAAGATGCGGGAGGAGGCACTTCAGCTGAAAGTAGAGCCTGGGCTTATCCTTTGAACTTGTCGTCTTCCTGGTTGGAAAGGACACCAAAGAAAGGAAAGAAGGCAAGCCGAGACGGGCCGCATGCTGATGGCGCAGAAGTCTGAACGTCCTCGCAGGCAGAAGATCCCGAGACAGGCGGCGGCGAGCCGAGGACATGAGAAGAGGATGCCATCGAACGGTTAATATCCCCTCAAAGAGAGCTGGGCCACCTCTGTCGGGCAGCCCGAGATCCCACAAATCGGTAGCGGATGGGGTAGTTCCTTCCCTTCTGCCGGTTGCAAAAGTCGTCAGGAATGGTGCATCGACAAGTCGTCGTCAATCCGTGTCAGGGATTCTTCGCTACTAGCAGCCTGATGAGAGAGCCAAGCGAACCCCTCGTTTGCGACCTATTTCTTTGGCTAGGGCTAGGATGAGTTTCTATATGCTGATTTGTGTCAGATAGGAAGTCGTTGCGTTGCCAGCCGTGGCGGGTGCTCTCCGCTGACCGTACGAACCTCCTCTGTAGTCCTAGCAAATGGGCATCTATGGCATTATTATTTGGAGTCATGGTCGTAGCTCCACTAGTAGTCGAGTAGCAGAGAGAGCGTGGCAGATCCATCTTGGGAGGGGGGTTACCCATGCTTCCGCTATCAGCAGTTTAGCAAAGAAGGCCACCGACATGGTCCCCGACAAATTGCCAGCAGACCGACTAGTACACAGTCGTCGTGGTAAGAATGGTACTGGCCTTGTCCGCATCAACTACCCCCTTCACGAGAGAAGTATACTTCCTGCCTCGTCGGTCACCTTCCACGAGAGAAGCTTCACGCGGGGATTGCTGAGATTCCGCGCTCGATGCTTGGAAGAATCCAATGGCAGACCCTAGAGAGTCTTTATTCACCCACGCAATTCGCAGGCATTGCCATTGTATACACGTGATCGGCAGGATCACAAGAGGAGGCGCTCCAGCTGCAGTCGAAAAGGACCTGTCGAAACAGTCCTTCACGCGTTCTAGGCATTTCTTGCTGCTGACAGGACATCGGCGTCATCGTAGAAGACGAGACAGTAGGGATGGCAGCCTGGGGAAGGTGGCGAAGCCGATTCTGCACTTTGCCAGTTGGCACATGCACTCAAACATGACAGGGTGCCGGCACAAAGAAGAAAGATGCCGACAGGTCCGCTGCGTTTGGATCCCCAGCCCCGAACCCGTCGCCAGAAGCTTCCCTTGGGTTGTTCGCGTCCCTGATATTTTCTTCGCAGTTACTTTACACAAAGACTTACCATCAAGGGTTAGGAATCAAAACATGACAACACCAACGAGTCTGAAGGGAGATGCGGGGAGAGACAGCCTCGGCAGGTCACGATCTGCAAAGAAGCCTGCCAGACGGGCTGCGAACTGAGTTTCTCGCGCACAGTCGGCGGAAGTTCACGCGCGACACGGTCGAGGAAACTCGAGATCCCGGGTAGCCTGAGGCTAACGCCATCTCACCGCCAAAGCCCGCGAAAGCTCGTCCTGCCGTTGGAGCACGAGTACGGGTGTTGACCGAAAATGAGGACAAAGAAGGCCTCTACTATGACGACGATCGGGTTGCCTGGCACAGCAGCATACAAAGGAGCTGAAGTAAGCCTTGTGGCAGTGACCAGGTGCCTACAGTATTTGAAGCTCCTGCTGCCAGGTTGGTTCGAAGGGAATGACCGGACGAATTGTCGAGGATGATACCTCTGAGCAACCTTTTCGTGTCAAGCTCAAGAACGGCAAGCTGTCATGGTTCAAGGAAGAGTGGCTGGAGGACTTCCCGCATTAAGCAGATGCAAGTTGTAGGCCTGTCCTTCGGTGAGCTTTGGGGCAGATTTGCCGATTTGCTTTAGTTCCAATCCAATTTCGATTTTGGGAAGCATGCACCCACTCGTATTCACATATCTAGGGTTCTCCTTGAGTTACACAGGCTGGTAGATTGATGGGTTGAGATCGAAGAAAAAGCAATCGTGCCGAGAGGCATGGGAGTACCAGAAAAGGAGGAGGAGGAGGGGGGTCACCATAGCGACGACAATTGCGACGACTAATCAATTTCAATTCTGAGAAGGCTGACAACGACACGTCAAGTCCAAAGACTGTTATGTAGCAGCAGCAAAGCACGCATTGAAGATCAGGATTGCGATAAGAGGAACAGCCAATGATGCAAGAGAGCACCTGCATGGTCTCTAGTCATGCGCAGGAGCTCGACGGTGGGTTCGCGTCTCATCTGCTGCACCTTCATGTGCAGCCTGACGGTTGACATTGAAACCACTTAGATCATCCTCGTCGAGTTCTTCATCTTCTTCTTCAGACTCGTCCGGTGAATCGGCCGAGGATGTATCTCGGCCACATGTCTCGGAAGAGCTGCCTAATCAATCTCCATTCTTTGTATATGGTTTAATCGGTGTGTTTGAGCACTGTCGAGCTCGTGGTTCCCCTAACCTCCCAAATAGTTTGGTGCCCTTTGGCTCCCGTTCCATTCCCTACCCCTCCCAGGCAGCTGGCAATGCGCAAAGCCCGGGCGATGAGGCCAGGACCTCCTCCAGCAAGAGTGGTGTTCATGCAGTCTCAGTTACGGAGACTTGCTGCGCTATAGACGCAACTTATGTTTGTCAGAGATCTATTCAGCCATTGCTTGACGAAGGTTTCAATGACAAATCTAGCATGAGCATGTTGTGGACAGCACAGGCCCGCGTGACTTGCGTGACTGTTCACGAAGGCTGTCGCCTTTGCTTGGGAGAGAACTCCCAAAAATTTGCCGGCAGCGGGCCTCGTGAGCCCTGGCAAGTTTAGGTAAATTCTGCTCCTAAGTTTGTGATTTTCTGGGTGCCAGGCAGCTTACGCCTTGAATGGGGCCGGTGGCGTCTCCCCCCTTGCTGCCGAGGCAGGTTACATCATAGCCTGTTGCGTCGAACGCATAGAGCCCCTTGCGCCTGCTTCGCTTCGGCTCTGGTGACTTCCCGGCCCATGAGGTGGAGACCTTCCTCGCAACTGCAATGGTGGTCAGGAACCCAGGACATCCCCGAACTTGGCACCCGGAGACCCATTGACATGTGAGACATGTGGTTGTCGAGCTTTCGCACATCCGTTGCGAATTTTTAAGGACGGACAAGCTGCTCAACGCTTGCGGTGCATGCCTGCCCACCAGCAGCGAATGGTCATGGAGTCCTCGGCTCGAAGTTCCGCTCCGAGTGTCCCAGAACTCTGGGATGCCATCTTGTGCGCAACTGAGTCGCGGACCAATCGCTGGGAGCAGAGCACCTGAAGGGGCGTCGGCCTGAAAGGCGAAAGGAAAAAGTGCAGCCGTGTGGGTTTCTGCCTGCAGGTGCTCGTTGCTCGCATCCGCGATGCCGAGCTCGGACGTGCTGGACCAGGACATGCCCCACAGGCTTTTGGATGTTGAGGGGTTTGAGCTCTTGTCTGGTAGCAGGAGCCATGGGTGCCATTCCAATGAACGGCGGCCCACCCTCCTCCAATCCCGAGATCGAGAAGTTCATCTCCAAGCAGTGGCCTGAGCCGCCTGAGCCGAAATGTCAAGAACAGGAAAAGAACGGAACGGAAAGGATGCCGTCTTTCGACTGCTGATTGCTGGAATCGGCAGATCCAAGGAGTCTTCAATGTAACCAGAATACACGAAAAGTCCGGAACCCCGAGGTGGAGCCTGGATGTCAAGGCTTCCTGGATGTTGCGCAGCCTGCCACCTGCGCCAGACTGAGATCACGAAATTGGCTGAGCGACAGCGAGGCAACGAGCTGAAGTAAACCGGAGACATCGCTTTGCACTTAGGACAAGCACGAGACGGTGCTGAAGATGTCGGTAGAGAAGGCTCTTGCGGATGTTGGGGGTAGGTGATCCATGTTGAAGCATCTCCCGCCACCTTAATCACGATGGAGGTACTTGTGACAGGAAGTCATGAAGAATCAAGTGCACTGAGGACAACCTTTAACAATTGCTGCGACAGAAGTAAGCTTGTAGCCCAAAAGCTCGATCCGATCATGATAATGGAAACTGAGGCCACAGCCTCAAGCCAGAAAGCCTTGATGGTCATTGGTATTTGGCTGTGTTCACTGTTCGTGTCCAAGTGGTGCGACCTACTGAGGTATACTTTTCCTAGGTATGCAGAGGCCCTTCGAATTTACCGCAGCTGGGGTCACTGGATGCAAAAAGCCTCGAGCCGGCCTTGGCTCGGCGCGTTTATGTCAATGCGCTCAAAGCTGGGACCGTGGCAGGCCCGGAATCCTTCCGCTTATATCATCTCCCAGATGAACTCGCGATCCTGGCAGAGTTCAGCTTTGCTCGAGGAACTGCCGGCAGATGGATACTTCTGTCGCATTGATGCTCTTGCATGGATTTGGAGCACACAGATACGGGACATGCATGGGGGAAGCTAGGTTCATGCATGCAGGTGAAAAGTACTATCGATGCTCAACTTCAACGGGCTTGGGGCTCGAAGGGTTCGAATGCTTGAACCGATGGCCAGGTTGTTTGGCGGAGTTCAAGGCATTCAGGAGCCCCGTGACCTCGTCTTGCGATGTCGCCAACGCCACACATCATGGAGCATTGAGCACCGCAGCGTTTTCTCATGCACACTTTTCAGGAACTTCAAAGGATGAACGCCCTTGCCAATGGAAATCGCGTGGCGCCCTCAAGCTAGAATGCCCGCGTCACGACACCACCGATGCTCTCTGAAGTGACCAGGACGCAATGCTAATGGTGCCCAAGTTCAACAAAGAGCCAAACTTCAACTTAACAGCTGCGGCTTGGCCTCGCCTAAGTGTGTGGTACTCGTATTGAGCCTGCTCCCAACACGTTCCAAGAGTTGCAGAGATCTCAGGTTACTATTTGATGGCTGTTGACTGCCCTATCGCCAAACTCTGGCCGAATCAAACGGAGCAGGTTGCAGGTTGCGACATCCTTGGGCCCTGGACAGGTGAAACTGGAGATGGGCGCTGAGTCGTAGCTTGCCATTTCAGACCTCTCCTCAAGCCCAACAACCCGGCCCACTGCACACCAAAAGGCGTCACGCGCAAGGGCCCAGGAAAAAATGCTAGTCTGACTTGCGGCTTGCCAAAAACATGCAGAGGCGGAGAACCAGGAATGTGCTTGATCCATCGAACTGCGTTGGCCGACGCATGTCAAAGGATTGTACGCGAGCATCGGCCACCGCTGCTTTCTGTGGTGGGTCATGTGCTGGCCTGTTCAGCACGCGGCGAAGCTATAGTGATTCCATAAAGCGGTTTCAGGCCCTCCAGTTTGCTGCAGGCCATGAGATGGAGCCGAGGTCTGCCGTTCCACAATGCGTGCTGTCGAACGCAAACCTCAGCATAGCGTCGCATGTGCTTTCTGCTAGTCGGCCGAGCTCCATGGAACGGAGGACAGCATGAAAACCAAGTGACCAGTCCATGAAACAGGAGCAAGCCACGCACAATCGAAGCAATCTCTTTTGAAGCACAGACTCGACATACTTCGATAAACGGTACTCCACGTAGACAGCCTGTGCCCCTCCCCAGGGTCATGCGATGTAAACCTTTCGAGTCCGCGGCTGCAGAGTTGTTCGACAAGAGTTGGGAACCCCAGTCAACCTCGCCTGATGCAGATGCGTCTCCCGTCGCAAATGTTTTTGCTGAGCGTCTCCGAAGGCCTCCACCCTCTGAAGCAGCTTAGCATTCTGTCCGAGAAGGCGTTAGCCATGCAGCTCCTGCCTGTGCTTACCTGTGCTTGTGCCAAGCCATTGCTTTGAGGCCACGAAGCCGTGGAATGACGTGTCACTGATGCAGTCATCGAGCCGCAGACCTACCGACCTAGTTCTAGCAAGAACTGGCTCATGTGTAAAGGAATTGTTTTAGAAAACTGCATCTGGCAGACAGCAAGCATGCCCCATCGCAGGACTGAGAGAACGCATCAAGCAGCTGAAACTGCAGCAGGATTGGGCCACAGCAACACCACGACTCCAAAAAGATATGTCAAAGGGCCTGCAAGAACTTACATGCTCGATGGTCCAGGCTGCAGGTTGCTGCAGGTTGGAGAGGCCCAAGGAGTGAACCTCGATTCGCCTCTTAGAGATGCGTCTCCTTTGGCAGGTTAAAGCCAGCGGCTTTTGTACAAACGCAGCAGTCCACCGAAAACAATCGATACGTGCCAAGAGAACAGTGTTCACTATGTCTTTAAGAGGTCCTGCATGCAGGCTGCGGTGTCAACCCTTCAGCATGAACAGCCTCTGGAGACGGTCAGCATTTCAACACCTTCGACACAGCACAGGGGGGGGTGTTGTTAGCATGTTCTGGCGCGCTAAGGCTTTGCATTGGGAGGCTGGCCTGATCCCAGCGAAGGCAGCTTCAACTCAAGAGACTGTCGCTCCTCGCTCCTGGCTTCAAGAGCAGGCCTGAGGCCGACGAGTGCTCTGAAGCGTGGAGAAGTTCGAGCGAGAGCTGCACATTGCCGTGAACGCAGATGCACAGCACGGTGCTCCAAGTGGCAGACACCGCTGAACATCAATCCGATTGACAGGTGCCCCCCCTACGGCGTAGGAGAACACGCAGAGGCTCTTTCACAGCACTGACAGCAAGGTGCCCGATGAGAGCAAGCTCTTCCTGCTGATGGGACCAGGTTGGATTTGCAATGTTCAGTTATTAATGCCGCTTGGATTTCCTGATCAACTCAGATGGCTCTCCTCTACTTCAAGCTGGGTCGACATGAAGCTAGGAGCTTGGAAGATGCGTGCGACACATGAATGAGTTTTGTTCAACATCAACGGGAGGAACTTCCGCTCTCCGCAGGCAGATAAGAATTGAGGTTAAGCAATGGGCGCTACGAGACGTGTTTTTGTTGAATGACTTTGGATCTATGCACCTTACAATGTCGCATGCTCGCTTGGCAAGCCCATGCCAGGCTTCATGGATCTCAGCCTCCTTTGCAGGACCCATGGGACCCATGTACCTTGTGCTGGGCAAGGATGAGGAAGAACAGCGCTTCCTGCTACAGGCCCGTTGAATGCTTAGTGTAGACGTATTATTGTAACAATTTGTAAGCCTATAATTATTTGAAGCGCAGTCCTAGACGTCCACGTCCCAACCATGCTGCTAGGCCATGGGAATCATCGAGAGCGACAGTTACAACGCCACGGTCGTACGCGATATTCACGCCAAGCACTTGCCTCGACTTGATCGGCTTCCCTCGAGATTGCAAGCCACGGAAAGATGGGGTACCTTCGTAGACGGAGTCTTGCCGATTCATGAGAGAACACTTGGCTGACAGCCTGAGGCCTTAGGCGGGCTATCCAGGAAGAGCCAACAGGTTAGATACTGGAGTTCCCCTTGGTGGGCCACAATTTAAAGCCATGGTGCCATCGACCGAACACTGGCTGAATGCCTGAAACCTTGACAATGCTAGAACGTTCCAGACCTTGGTAGTGTCACACATCTCGACATCAGAAGGGGCTCCGTTCGCAACATACCGAACTGGTCATCTCTTTTCTAGAAGACCGCATTTTGTCTGCATTCTGCACGGAGTAAGGCTGGCAAACATACCAGCGAGCGATGCCTGAGGTGGAGCTTTGCACACTTGCGCTGTCAACATGTCTCAACAATGGCCGTACCATGAGGGGCCTAGGTTGGAAACTTGCCCGGTCGGAAATGTTCAGCAGCCGAAAAGCCGTAGGCATGCCCAACCGTCCAACCAAACCTGCAAGGAGAAGCGAAAGGCTGAAACATGGCCGACCTGCGCGTCCTCGGCGGCGAGATGAGAATTGAAACTTCTCTCGCGGAGAACAGGCTTTTTTGACAGCTTCCTCTCCCTTTTCTCCCCTTCCCACGGAAATCGCATTTGTCTTGGGGTCGCACGGATCCACGGGAGCTTTTTTGGGCCGTGGCAGGCTGTTCTTTCGGCGGTGTTGTTGGCAGGATCACGTCTTTCATTCTTGCCGTACGACATCGCCAGAGCCTTCCAACTTTCATCTTGCCCGTCGGGTTCAAGCCATTCGTTCAGCCAGTGCTCACTCGCAACCTTGTCCCGCAGTAAACTAGGGCCTTCAACAGATGAACTCCACGCCCTTAGATGGATGAGCGGCAGCGGCGTAGCCCCCAAGAAAGCCAAGGCATCCCAAGGATAGTGGCTGAGTAGGCTTCCGCTCGGGTAGACGTGTTCATTCAGCGGGCCACAGCGAAGACGGGCTCTGTTGGTATGCCTAAACGACCGGAGTTTGCCAGGGCATCAAATCTTTCCAGCCTTTACTTCGACCGCTCCGAGATCAGAAATGTCCACTGTAAATTGGCAAGGTCCTGGCTGACACAGTGATCTCCAGGTTGACCCAAATAGTGTTCACCCCATGTTTGATACTCGTTCCACTCATGTCTTATCGCTTCCCGTTTGCCATGGTTAGCAAAGCGCTCTTCTGCATCGGGGCACGATGCCTTGCCAAGGGCCTAGAGCCACTGTCGCAGGCCGTCACCTTTCCATGCACGTGTGTACAACGAGTGCAGCAACGGGCCAAGACAAGATTATCAAGCCAGGCTAACATGCCTGCAGTCTGCTATGAAGCAGTGTAGAGCCTCTAGCATACAGATCTGCAAGAGAGGATGCAGCAATTTAGGCCTTGATTGCATTGATTTGTCAGTCAGCCTGTTGCATGTCTCGCATCGTGAAGCTGCTTACCGCAGCAGATGCGGTGGACACCTTCCGCGAGGTCGCTTGTAAACAGAGACTGGGCCACATCCATGTCGCAGCCATGCGAGCGCCCAGGCCTGATGTTATTCTGTCGGCATACACGCTGCACATGGCTCGTCCTCACTGCAAACGTTGGAGCTAAACATTCGGTAATGCAGTACCATTGGGGGGGCAGCCTGTGTTTTGACACTTCGGCGAGTTACAATGTCATGACCGACAGCAGGACTGGTGATGAAGTCCGTAAAACGGATTGTTGATTGGAGCAATCCAGGCACCCGAGGAATTTGAACTGTCAGTCAAACACTAAACCTGCCGCAGTTCTGAGGTGGATGGCGAACAGACCTCACCTATTTGGATCACTGTAGTTGTGAAACGACTCTGCGCCAGATGCGCTTTCAAGCTTTCGGTGGCTAAAGCTTGCAAGACTCGGTTGATACACTCAGGCTCCGGCCTGCAGAAGACACTCCAAAGCCCCTGAAGGCTACAGATTTCAGTTTACAAGTCTCTTGGGTCTCTGTTTATTTACAACATGAGCACCTTTTGAAATGTCTACGGCGGAAATGCCCTATCGCAGTCCGTAGCTGGCTACGACTACTGGGGAACTCAAGTGTCTATGGCTTTGATCGAAGACTGCTCGAATTCTGTCCTGCGAAGTCCTCCGAACACTTAAACTGACTACTTCCCCAGGCTTCGGCATCTCATTTGTGGGCATATTTGCCTTTGATTGACTTCTTTGCGGCTCCGGCCACCTTATTCAGGGCAGTTGAACTTCTGCTTTGTCCTGTTGTCAGTGGCACAAGCCAAACTTGACAGCTGCCATGTCCCAAGACCTCGATGCAGCCTAGCACATCCCTGAACTCTTAGCTGAAGCAGTTCCTGCAAGTCCAGTCTGGATTAGATAGCCGAGGCTGTTCTGAAGCGGATGTGTCGCTGCTATCCTCACTACCATGCACTACCCCATGCGAGGGTCAGTAGCGAGAAGCGGCTACCACAGGATGCCCGGTACAGATTCAATATGTACGCAACTTGTGGCTCCGGCCACCATGTAGATGTCGGCAAAGCCTAAGGCCGGAAGACAGGACCCATGATTCCGTTTCGAACGCCCGAAGGGTAGAATCACGGAGACAGTTTCGGCGAGGCCAAGGCCATACCCCCCCGAAGCCCAGCCGCCTGGCCGCCCGGCCT